TTTCCATTTTTGAATATTTTCTAAAAATACCTGTCTTTTATTCTTAAAAAAATACAAAAAATATTCTAAAAAAGAAAAGACTCTTCTGTTGCTGTGTGCTCTCATTTGCCCTGTCTCGTGGCTGTGTTTGGTCCACATCAGGGCCAGTTTTTGGTTAATTTTGCATTTCTGAATATTTTTTAAAAATACCTGTCTTTTATTCTTAAAAAAACCAAAAATATTCTAAAAAAAGAAAAGACTCTTCTGTTGCTGTGTGCTCTCGTTTGTCCTGCCTCGTGGCTGTGTTTGGTCCACATCAGGGCCAGTTTTTGGTTAATTTTCCATTTCTGAATATTTTCTAAAAATACCTGTCTTTTATTCTTAAAAAAACCCAAAATATTCTAAAAAAAGAAAAGACTCTTCTGTTGCTGTGTGCTCTCATTTGCCCTGTCTCGTGGCTGTGTTTGGTCCACATCAGGGCCAGTTTTTGGTTAAGTTTCCATTTCTGAATATTTTTTAAAAATACCTGTCTTTTATTCTTAAAAAAATCAAAAAATATTCTAAAAAAGAAAAGAATCTTGTGTGCCTGCCTGTGTGTGCGTTTCCCCCGTCTTTTGGCTGTTGGCTCCACCGCGGGGAGAGGTTTTGTTATTTCATTTCTGAATATTTTTTAAAAATACCTTTCTTTTATTCTAAAAAAATACAAAAAATATTCTAAAAAAAAAGACTCTTCTGCTGCTGTGTGCTTTTGTCTTTGTGTAGTTCCAACCAGTGTGCTCCTTTTGCCAACACAAAGTGCTATAATACAGTGCGCTCATTTGTGTAGTTCCAACCAGTGCGCTCCTTTTGCCAACACAAAGTGCTACATACACTGCTCGCTCATCATTTGTGTAGTTCCAACCAGTGCGCTCCTTTTGCCAACACAAAGTGCTACATACACTGCTCGCTCATCATTTGTGTAGTTCCAACCAGTGCGCTCCTTTTGCCAACACAAAGTGCTATAATACAGTGCTCGCTCATTTGTGTAGTTCCAACCAGTGCGCTCCTTTTGCCAACACAAAGTGCTATAATACAGTGCTCGCTCATTTGTGTAGTTCCAACCAGTGCGCTCCTTTTTCCAACACAAAGTGCTACATACACTGCTCGCTCATCATTTGTGTAGTTCCAACCAGTGCGCTCCTTTTGCCAACACAAAGTGCTACATACACTGCTCGCTCATCATTTGTGTAGTTCCAACCAGTGCGCTCCTTTTGCCAACAGAAAGTGCTATAATACAGTGCTCGCTCATTTGTGTAGTTCCAACCAGTGCGCTCCTTTTGCCAATACAAAGTGCTATAATACAGTGCTCGCTCATTTGTGTAGTTCCAACCAGTGCGCTCCTTTTGCCAACACAAAGTGCTACATACACTGCTCGCTCATCATTTGTGTAGTTCCAACCAGTGCGCTCCTTTTGCCAACACAAAGTGCTACATACACTGCTCGCTCATCATTTGTGTAGTTCCAACCAGTGCGCTCCTTTTGCCAACACAAAGTGCTATAATACAGTGCTCGCTCATTTGTGTAGTTCCAACCAGTGCGCTCCTTTTGCCAATACAAAGTGCTATAATACAGTGCTCGCTCATTTGTGTAGTTCCAACCAGTGCGCTCCTTTTGCCAACAAAAAGTGCTACATACACTGCTCTCTCATTTGTGTAGTTCCAACCAGTGCGCTCCTTTTGCCAACAGAAAGTGCTATAATACAGTGCTCGCTCATTTGTGTAGTTCCAACCAGTGCGCTCCTTTTGCCAACAGAAAGTGCTATAATACAGTGCTCGCTCATTTGTGTAGTTCCAACCAGTGCGCTCCTTTTGCTCATTATTTGTGTAGTTCCAACCAGTGTGATGAAACGCTTCCTTCCCGGCTTTTCTAGTCGCAAGGGCCAAGTGCTATCACGAATACCGAAGAAAGGCAGGGGACTGAAGATGAACACATTGACAAGAAGGGAACATTCATCCAACGAGATGGTTATTGAAACACCCACAGATGCTTCAACCAGCTGTGAGATGGCAGAACCTTCTTCTTCATCAGTTCAAAAGACTCTACGTTCAGATCCTGATGTCGTTCCAAGTACCTCTGATATTACTTGTTATGAAGAGGAGGGCGAGGAGGCGGACGTGTCAGAGGAATGGGAGGAAGACAAGATGGAATGTGCTTCCACCACAGAATTAGTGATCAAGAGGACTGCATGCTGATGGAGGGCGAGCTACAGAAACAACCAACGATTATACTCCCTTCCACAAACACCGACAGTCCAAACACGAGCATGAGTACATCTGAAGTGCCTAGTAGGGGTAGGCCGAGATCGCTCCTATGGGATCATTACGACGTCCATAATGAGAGGGCCACTTTGGCAGTTTGCAGGCATTGCGGTGTGAGCGTCAGCAGAGGAAAAGATATGAGGCATCTTGCCACAACAGGGCTAAGGATGCACATTAAGAGACACCACCCAAATGTGAAGTTGGTCCTTCTTACTTAACTTGCAATACTGCTACAGAAATTAGTATGTATGCAATACTTCCCAGATAATTTTCAGAGTTTTTTCAAAGTGCAATTTCTGTTACTTTTTGTTACTTTTTCTTTATTTATTTCTTATATTTACTTTCTAAGTTTTTATAATAACATTATTTTTATATATTAATAATTTATAATTTAATTTTATATATTATTTTTATTATTATTTATAATTATATTTTATAAATATTTTATAAATTTAATTATATTTTATTTAAATATTTATATTATTATTTATTTCATTTATATAATATATATATAATATATTATTATATTATATTATTTTATTTTATATTGTATATATTATATAATTTTATATTATTTATTGTTATTATTTATTATTATTATTATTATTTATTATTATTTATATTTTATTTATTTAAATTTTATTATTATATTATTGTTTATTTCATTATATTATTAAATTGACTCAGTTTTGGATACTTTATCTTATTACTTTTTTATTTAATATCTTAATATCTTGTTCTATTTGATTATTTTATTTGATTTATTTTATGAAATGATTTTGTTTATAGAGCATTTAGCATTGCGCAATCGCGTCCGCCATTTTAACGAATCGATTCGTTATTATTTTAATAGCGAATCGATTCGTATTTAATAACAAAGTTTCGGAAGTCGCTTTTGCGCATGCGCAATCGCGTCCGCCGTTTTAACGAATCGATTCGTTATAACCTTAACGAATCGACCCCGCGCCAATAACGAAGCTTCGGAAGTGATTTTGCGCATGCGCGGGGGGTCCGCCATCTTAACGAATCGATTCGTAAATATTTACGAAATTTCGTAAATACCGAACTTTTTTAAGGGAAAATTTTGTAATTATTTTAAATATCGAAACAAAAAAACACCCCAATTACAAATCGATTTTAGAAACAAATTTTTGCGTTGTTACCCAGGCCTATTAACTACCACTCCCACGATTTCATAGCATTGGCCAAAGGCGGTGGAAGTGGTGTCAACCTGCATTGATTCTACAGTGCAGATGTCGCCAAGGACTTGGAAGAGACCACGAGGGCCATCCAATCCAACCCCTTGCCATGCAGGAATAATGTACCATCATCATTCACCATAAATGGCATTCATTTTTCAAGCAAGTGTCCTGGTTTGAGATATATAGTTTGAATACATGTGTGTGTGAGTGTGTTTTTTATATATTCAAGCCATCTATATAAATAAAAATGTAATGTTTGTTTGTGGGTTTAACATAACTCAAAAACCACTGGATGAATTGACACCAAATTTGGACACCACACACCTATCAGGCCAACGAGTGACCATCACTCATAAACACACTGAAAAACACAGCAGAAGAGACTTAAAAAGCCGAAAAACAAAAATTACATTACAATACACACGCAAAACCACATATATGTATGTATACATGTGAACACACATATATACACATATACACAAATATATGCACACATATACACACAGAAAACACATATACACAAAACTGGGCCACAGCAACGCATGGCAGGGGACAGCTATGTTCAAACCATGTATATTTATTTATTGTGTCAGGAGCATGTATATTAAAACCATATAGGTGAATATATATATGTGTGTGTGTGTGTGTGTTTTGAATATATATATATATATATATATATATATATATATATTCATCTATCCATACATGTGTGTGTGTGTGTTCAAATCATATATATTCAAACCATATATGTGAATATGTGTGTATGTTTTGAATATATATATATATATGTATGTTCAAACCATATATATATATATTTTCACTCTATATATATTAAAACCATATATGTGTGTATATATATATGTGTGTGTGTGTATATTCAAACCATATTTATTCAAGCCATATATGCAGATATATATTTGTCTGTGTGCTTTGAATGTGTGTGTGTGTTTGTGTGTGTGTATATATATATATATACACACACACACGCACACACACATATATATATAGTCAAACCATATGTATGTGTGTTCAAACAATATATATTCAAACTATACATATGTATATGTATATGGGAGGCAGCCTGATACCAAAATTGGCACCAGGGAAATCCAAAATGGGCACCTTATATAAGCCCTCATTTGCAAAGCCGGTTTTCAAACGGGAAACAAATAGAAGGGGGGAGACTGATAACAGGCAACTTCCTTCTATTGCAATTGCAATTACATATTATCAGATCTGTCTCCTGCTAGTTGCTAATCCCAATTTTGCACTTTCTTTCCCACCGTGCAGCTGGAAACTACTCCAGAGCCCATCATCCCCTTCTTTTCCTCCTTTCTCTCTTCATCCAGTCCACCCTGGGTCATCACACCAAAGAAACCCGGCTTCTACACTGTAGAATTAATGAGGTTTGACACCACTTTAGGTGTCAAACTATAAAAATGCAAATGTGACGCCTGAAGTGGTGTCAAACCGCATTAATTCTACAGTGTAGACGCACCACGAGGCGCCTCTCCTTCCTTACCTTCCAGGACAAGGATCCTTTGTCAGGTCTCGAGAGAGACTCTCGGCTCCACGGAGAGGAACGGGACGAAGCTGAAGAGAGGTCTGTAGCGGCTCCTTTCCCTCCCACGGCACACACGGTCTCGCAGCCACGCCCCCTCTTTTGCATATTTAAATCGCCGCCCAATCACTTGCCGAATCCCTCCAGCATCATCCCGGGCTTCACCGCTGGATTGGTGCAGCTGCCTCAAACCACGAGCTGAGCCGATGCCGGTTACCACGGCAACCGGCCGCCCGATGAATATTTTAGGTTCGGAGAAGAGAAAGGCTCCTCGGAGCAGCATGAATTCAGATTGACGCTACATTCATCGCCATGGGAATAAAGAGTAACACTCAAAAAGCACGGGAATTCCAGACAAGAATCAATCAGGGCCAGCTAACACCTCCCAACAAAGGATTTCCCCCCAGGCAGCAACCAGCCAGGCTTTGAAGCTGCAAGGCTGCTCAGTGTTAATCAAGGTGGTCAATTGCAACATTCACACTTGCCTCAAGCAGGCAAGAGTTCTTTCTCCCACCCTGGACATTATTCCACAGATATATAAACCCACTTGCCTAGTTTCCAATAGACTTCGCAACCTCTGAGGGTGCCTGCCATGAATGTGGGCGAAACTTCAGGAGATAATACTTCTGGAACATGGCCATACAGCCCAAAAAAATCACAGCAACCCAGTGATCCAAGCCATGAAAGCCTTCAACAATACTTTAACTGCCATGGCTCAGAGCTAGGGAATGCTGGGATGTGTAGTGTTGCAAGGTGTTTGCCTTTATTTATTATTTACAATTTATTTATTTACAATGTTTCTACCCCGCCCTTCTCAACCCTTGAGCGGCTTACACTGGTAACAATTGGATGCCGCAAATATAGCAGCAATATAAAACCATAAACAGCAATAGATTAAAAACAGTAAACATTAATGGGTTGTTGTAGGTTTTCCGGGCTATATGGCCATGTTCTAGAGGCATTTTCTCCTGACGTTTCGCTTGCATCTATGGCAAGCATCATCAGAGGTAGTGAGGTCTGTTGGAAGTAGGAAAATGGGTTTATATATCCGTGGAAAGACCAGGGTGGGACAAAGGACATATAATGGCCTGACAGAAAGATTCCCCCAAGCACTTCCAAGCCATTAAATGCTAATCAAGATGGTCAGTTGAAACATTCACACCTAGCTCCAGCAGACAAAAGTCCTTTGTCCCACCCTGGTCTTTCCACGGATATATAAACCCATGTTCCTACTTCCAACAGATCTCACTACCTCTGAGGATGCTTGCCATAGATGCAGGCGAAACGTCAGGAGAAAATGCCTCTAGAACATGGCCATATAGCCTGGAAAACCTACAACAACCCAGTGATTCTGGCCATGAAAACCTTCAACAATACAATAAACATTAATTATCACAGTCATGTTGCCATTTCCATTATTATAACACATGGCCCAGTTCGATGTCCAAAGTGCCGCCATGACTGCTAGCCAAAGGCCTGGTTCCAAAATCATGATTTCAGTTTTTTCCCAAAGGAAAAGAGGGAAGAAGCTGACCTGATCTTGCTGTGGAGCGAGTTCCACAAGTGGGGGGTCACCACTGAGAAGGCCCTGTCCCTCGTCCTCACCAGACGCGTTTGCAAGGCTGGTGGGACCGAGAGCAGGGCCTCCTCGGTGGATCTTAGACTACGAGGTGGAATGTAATGGGAGATATGCTTGGACAAGTAAGCTGGGCCGGAGCCGTAGAGGGCTTTACAGGCCGAGACCAGCACTTTGAATTCTGTGCCCAAGAGTGCTGGTGCCTCGGCACAGTTGCAAATCCTGGGATTCCATAACATTGAGCCATGCCAGTTATTGAGGTTTCGCTCTAAGCCAGTCTACCTAGGATTATGTAGAGAAACAGAGTTTGGAAAGGGTGGGATCATAGCTTCTAGCATCCCATATAGGACCTAGAGATTTTAGGAGCTCCAATATAACTAAACACCTTCCCCAAGACATAGCAGATGGCCAATTAGCAGATATGAGACAGATTTCCACTACTTTGTTATGGTTGCCTGATGCAATCCCCTCCCACAATACTCCTCCCAGGAGCATTTGGCAAAGGTCTCAAAAATGAACCGCTTTGAATCCTACCCTCTTTCCAATACACGCCCCTTTTTGCCAAGTATTTGTGTGAGTTTCACTCTGCCTTGGGGCAAGTTTTACTTTAGTTAAGCAACCTATTTTTCCCTGTGATCCACTTTTCTGTGCAGTGGGAATGAATTTCCAGGCCAAGGGAAATAGTACCAGGTTTTGGTAGGGCTGAGGGTGCATCGGCACTGCAGAATGAATGTATTGTCGAAGGCTTTCATGGCTGGAATGACAGAGTTGTAAGTTTTCTGGGCTGTATGGCCATATTCCAGAAGCATTCTCTCCTGACGTTTTGCCTGCATCTATGGCAGGCATCCTCAGAGGTTGTGACCATTATCTGGCTACACATAGCAATCCCCCAAAAATACAGAAGTTAAGTACTTCACCCCAAAAAAGACAATCACAAATACACACACACACACACACACAAGAAAACAACAGATGTCCTGGAATGTATAGTGAAAGTAATCTTTACAGCCAGTACAAATAATACATTATTGTGAATACTAAAACACAGACCTGTGTGGAATGCAGCAATTTACAACAAAAGTAAACAAAAAGGGTATATACTTCCATAAATTGTAACAAGAAAGTCAGCATATGTAGAACACTATTTAGAGACAAAAGTAAAGGTAAAGGTTTTTCCTTGACATTAAGTCCAGTCGTGTCTGATTCAGGGGGGTTTCTAAGATGAATAGCCGGCGTTGTCCGTAGACGCCTCCAAGGTCATGTGGCTGGCATGACTGCATGGAATGCCATTACCTTTATCTCATCCCCTAGTGAAAATCCATCCCCATTGTTTGTCCCATCTGAATCTCCCACCAGATACGCTAATCTATTTACCTATCTCACCCAGGGTTTTATAATTTTATCCCTTGCATTTGGCCCAACCCACTGTGCTCTACTTTTTTATTTCATATTTCTTTTACTTTTCTTTGTTGTAATTGTTGGGCTTGGTGGCGGGGTACAAAGTATTATTATTATTATCATTATTAGAAAAACAACAAGATGGGTCCACAGCAAACAAGATTATTCTGCTGACTGTTGTATTGGATCACACGTCGGACACTTCCCAAGTTTCTAGGACTGTGTGATGTATCAGTGAATAATGTGTGCAGATCTGAGTAGCGTTGCCTTTTGCAGCTGGCAGATGGTAATTTTGTCAGCGCCAATTGTATTTAAATGCCGGCCAAGGTCATTAGGCACTGCACCCAGTGCGCCAATCACCCCTGAAACCACCTTTACTGGCTCGTGCCAGAGTCTTTGCAGTTTGATCTTTAAATCCTTGTATCGTGTCAGCTTTTCCAGTTGTTTCTCTTCAATCCTGCTGTCGCCTGGGATTGCAACATCAACGATCTATATTTTGTTTTTTAAATTGATTGTAAGGTCAGGAGTATTGTGCTCCAAAACTCTGTCTATCTGATTTCGGAAGTCCCAGAGTAGTTAGACATGTTCATTTTATTATTATTATTGACACAAAACCACAGTATGTCACAGCAAACGAGATCTATATGCTGGATTTCGTATCACAAGATCACAAGTCGAACACTTCCTGAGCATCTAGGACTGCATGATATATTTTCGAATGATGCGCGCAGATCCAAGTAACGTGGCCTTTTGCAGTTGACAGATTGTGATTTTGTCAATGTTTATTGTTTCCAAATGCTATCTGAGGTCTTTTGACATGGCACCCACTGTGCCGATGACCACTGGGACCACCTGTACTGGTTTATGCCAGAGCCTTTGCAGTTTGATTTTGAAGTCTTGATAATGGCTGAGTTTTTCCTGTTATTTTTCATCAATGTGGCTGTCACCTGGTATGGCGACCTCAATAATCCAAACTTTTTTCTTTTCCACAATCGTGATGTCTGGTGTATTATGTTCCAAAACGTTGTCAGTTTGGATTCGAAAGTCCCACAATATTTTTGTGTGCTCATTTTCCACGACCTTTGCAGGTTTATGATCCCACCAATTCTTTACTGTTGACATGTCGTACTTCTGACATAAGTTCCAGTGAATCATTTGGGCTACAGAGTTGTGCCTTTGTTTGTAGTCCATCTGTGCGATTTTCTTGCAACAGCTGAAGATATGATCCATGGTTTAATCAGCTTTCTTGCACAGTGTGCATTTTGGGTCATCAGCTGACTTATTTATATTATTATTATTATTATTATTATTATTATTATTATTATTGACACAAAAGCACAGTATTCCACAGGAAACAAGATCTCTGTGCTGGATTTCGTATCACAAAATCACAAGTCGAACACTTCCCAAGCATCTAGGACTGTGTGATGTATTTTTGAATGATGCGTGCAGATCCAAGTAACGTGGCCTTTTGCAGTTGACAGATCATGATTTTGTTGATGTTTATTGTTTCCAAATGCCGGCTGAGATCTTTTGGCACGGCACACAGTACACCAATGACCACTGGGACCACCTGTACTGGTTTATGCCAGAGACTTTGCAGTTCGATTTTGAGGTCTTGATAGCAGCTGAGTTTTTCCTGTTGTTTTTCTTCAATGCGATTGTCACCCGGTAAGGCGACATCAATAATCCAGGCTTTTTTCTTTTCCACAATCGGGATGTCTGGTGTATTTTGTGCCAAAACTTTGTCAGTCTGGATTTGAAAGTCCCACAGTATTTTTGCGTGCTCATTTTCCACTACCTTTGCAGGTTTATGATCCCACCAATTTTTTAATGCTGGCATGTGGTACTTCTGACATAAGTTCCAGTGAATCATTTGGGCCACAGAGTTGTGCCTTTGTTTATAGTTCGTCTGTGCGATTTTCTTGCAACAGCTGAGTGGTACCTATTAATCTACTCACATTTGAGTGTTTTCAAACTGCTAGGTTGGCCTAATGAGAGCAAAAAGTCAGTGATGAATAAATATAATATGTATCAGTTTGTAGAGAAACCGACTGTTAGGAATTGTGTTAGGAATTGTGGAAGCTGAAGTCCAAAACACCTGGAAGGTCAAAGTTTGCCCATTCCTGCACCAGGGCCCTTCTTATGCTTTGCTCTATGAACAGTGTTTCTCAACCTGGGGGTCGGGACCCCTGAGGGGGTCGCGAGGGGGTGTCAGAGGGGTTGCCAAAGACCATAAGAAAACACAGTATTTTCTGATGATCATGGGGATTCCATGTGGGAAGTTTGAGCCAATTCTATTGTTGGTGGAGTTCAGAATGCTCTTTGATTGTAATGAACTACAACTCCCAAATGTCAAGATATATTTTCCCCAGACTCCACCAGTGTTCACATTTGGGCATATTGAGTATTCGCGCCAAGTTTGGTCCAGATCCACCATTGTATGAGTCCACAGTCTCTCTGGATATAGGTGAACCACAATTCCCAAACTCAAGGTGAATGTCCATCAAACCGTTCCAGTGTTTTCCATTGGTCATGGGAGCCAAGTTTCATTCAAATCCCTCGCTAGTGGAGTTCAGAATGCTCTTTGATTATAAGTGAACTATAAATCCCAGCAACTACAACTCCCAAATTACAAAATCAATCCTCCCCCAACCCCACTAGCATTCACACTTGGGTGTATTAGGTATTTGTGCCCAGTTTGGTCCAGTGAATGAAAATACATCCTGTTTATCAGATATTTACATTATGATTCATAACAGTAGCAAAATTACAGTTATGAAGTAGCAATGAAAACAATATTATGGTTGGGGGTCACCACAACATGAGGGACTGTATTAAGGGGTCACGGCATTAGGAAGGTTGAGAACCACTGCTCTATGAATCTGGGGAGGATTCGCTCTAGTCCTTCCTTGTTTCCTAGCTCTACTGGCACTTGCCTGGACCCCTCCTCCTCCTCCTCCTCCAGGGACCGGAATCAAGTCTATGGAATCAACCTCTGAAAGCCAACGGGGCCGGGCTTGTGACAGCGTGTTTACATCCTCTTCCTCAAGGAGGGCAGCCAAGGAAAGCCGGGGGCGCACCATGGGCAGGACAGTCACTGTCGCCACCTGCGCCTTGAACCAATGGGCGATGGATTTTGATGGCAACCTGGAAAGGATTTTGAAAAGTAAGCCAGAGAGGCGGTGCTTGAAACCCCCCCCCCCCCCCCCCGCAACACGTATTCAAGTCAGGGCTGGATTAAGAATAATAAACTGTAACGTAACATTGTATTTTTGGACATGGAACAAAACTTATGGTAAGATGGGAAATAAATGTTTGCTTTTGCCTACCTCCACTTTATTTAGATTTGGAAAGTGTTTGACTTTATTGAATTGCAGGGTCTTTTATTACTGTATTGCTTTTATTACTGTTAGCTGCTTTGGGTCTCCTTTTGAAAGAAATAAAGTGAATATAAAATAAATATAATAATTTCCCATTATTATTATTATAATATCCCATTTTATCTCTCCAGAAAGAGACCCAAAGTGGCTAACCACACTAAAAATATTATTATTATTATTATTTGAAACACAACAAGATGAGTCCACAGCTGGCTGTTGTATTGCATCACACGTCGAACACTTCCCAAGTGTCCAGGACTGTGTGATGTATTGGCGAATAATGTGTGTAGGTGGCCTTTTGCAGGTGGCAGATGGTAATTTTGTCAGCACCGATTGTATTTAAGTGCAGGCCAAGGTCTTTAGGCGCTGCACCCGGTGTGCCGATCACCACTGGGACCACCTTTACTGGCTTGTGCCAGAGTCCTTGCAGTTCGATCTTTAAATCCTCATATCATGTCAGCTTTTCTAGTTGTTTCTCTTCAATCCTCTATTATTATTATTATTATTATTATTATTATTATTATTATTATTATTATATTAGCAGTTCTGGGAACTTGTTCTTTTGGGCTCCTTTTTGGGGAGCTTACAAACTTCCTCTTCAGTTAGCAAAGACTATGGGTACATCTACACTGTACACTGTATATTGCAGCTTGGCACCACTTTAATTGCCATGGCTGAGTGCTATAGAATCTTGGGATCTTTGGCAGAGAAGGCTGAAGCCATTGTAAAACTACAACTCTAGAATTCTGTAGCATTGAGCCATAGCAGCTGAAGTGTAGTTATATATCCCAGGACAAAGAAGTTCCTTTCTGCAAAGTTTTTTTTTGCACCTTTACCACGTGTGTTTGTGTCTTCAAGTCGCCTGTGGACTTATGGCAACTCCGTGACCTCAGTATGGCTTTCCTAAGCATGGAATACTCAAATATAGTTTTGTCAGTCTCCTCCTCTGGAATATAGCCAATACTGCAGTATATGACATTCATCATTAGCCTCCCATCCAAATACTAAACAGAACTGAGTCTGCTTAGATTCCAAGATCAGATTGGAGCCAGTGCCTTTAATATGTTTAGGCCGTCTAGACAAGATTTTTTTTTTTAGTATCAATATTGCCATCGAGAAAATGGTGAAAGAGGGCTGGAGTAACACAGGCTTTCAGGCAGCAGCATGTGTGCAGTAAACAAAGTAGAAAAATGTGAGCTAAGAAAGTGTGGGATTCCATTCCAGTCCATTCTAGTTGCCATAACATGCAGGTAAACAATAACGTTTTCCAGACTTATTGAGTACTGTATGTGTGAATTTCAAAACAAAGGGAAAAAGAAACAGTAGCTAATGCTTCCTCAGAAGCAACATGTTACAAATAATAAAACTTTAAGTTTGCCCACCCAAATGGAAATCATAAGAAAAGAGGGAATATTTATTTATTTACGACATTTATATGCTGCCCTTCCCACCTCAAAGGGGACTCAGAGTGGCTTACAAGTAATATGTAAATAAATATATTATATTATTACCATAGCACAGTATTAGTATTATATATTACTATGAGGCCCTATGAGGAGTGGCTAGCCCTATGAGGAGCAGCTTAAAGAGCTGGGCATGTTTAGCCTGAAGAAGAGAAGGCTGAGAGGAGACATGATAGCCATGTATCATGTGAGGGGAAGTCATAGGGAGAAGAGAGCAAGCTTGTTTTCTGCTGCCCTGGAGACTAGGACACAGAACAATTGCTTCAAACTGAAAGAAAGTAGATTCCATCTGAACATTAGGAAGAACTTCCTGACTGTGAGAGCTTCTTCAGGCTAAACATGCCCAGCTCTTTAAGCTGCTCCTCATAGGGCTTATTCTCCAGACCTTTGATCATTTTGGTCCCCCTTCTCTGGACACATTCCAGCTTGTCAACATCTCTCTTTAATTGCGATGCCCAAAATTGGACACAGTGTGATTTCAGGTGTAGTCTGGTCGAGGAAGAATAGAGAGGCAGCATGACTTCCCTGGATGTAGACACTATACTCCTATTTATGCAGGCCAAAATCCCATTGGCTTTTTTTGCTGCCGCATGACATTGTTGGCTCATGTTTAACTTGTTATCCATGAGGACTGCAATATCTTTTTCACACATAGATCCTTCTCCCAAAAGACTGTAGAAAATTCTTAATTATATTTTAATTTTGCAGGTATTGAAATTGCTAAAAACAAAAAAGCAAGATACCGGGTTGGACCAGAACTTGAAATTTGGTGAGAACACATTTTTATTTTCCTGAGTGTCAAATAATATGTAGCTGTTTTATAGGAAAGAAGAATTAATATGTACTCAATGGTATAGACTTTCAGTTTTTTTTCCTCATGTAACAAATTTTGTTGCTTAATGTACATTTCTGTTATTTGTTGTTGTTTTAATCTTAAGAATCAAAATGGGTAATAGCAACATAATGCCTGCTAGAAACACAGTCAAAAGCAATTGCAATTTATCAATTTCCATAAGTATTTTTGCAGTCTTCATTTTAAATGTGATTAACAATTTTTAGTTAAACACTATTTTTGCATGAATTGAGGAAGTTGTCCAGAAATGAAGCTGGGCAAACTTAGTAGGGGAAATGAGATCCATAGCAGCAAGCAAGACATCAAAAGAACCTTTTAAACAAGTATAATTTCTGTTAGAAAGAAAACCTAGTATTTGGTTGTCCATGGGGCCATCTACACTGATCATTTCATGCCTTTTCAAAACAGCATTGAAGAAAGTTATTTCACTGTGTAGATAATTACATTGGAAATCCCAAACCACAGAGCACTAATGCACTTTAAGGCCTTCTTTCACTTGCTTTCTTGGTAGTTTGTTGTTTGGGTACCACACTTTGAAGATAATATAGATAGGGCCCATATATTTAGACAGTCAGCACTGTTAAAGTTGACAGCCCCAACACATGGTATAGTCTACAGCAGTGTTTCTCAAACTCTGCTCCTCCAGGTGTTTTAGACTTAAGCACCCACATTAATCCAGATTTTCTTTCTGTTTGTACACATTAAGGAGTATATAGGAATATGGGAACTCACTAAATAGGTATATATACGTTGTTTAGGGTTTTTTTTTACCTTTGTGAAACCAACTCAGAATTTCCCTGATGTGTTATGTTCTTTGTCTCACTTATTTTCTTCCTGTTTTCTTTCCTTTGCAGTGGATATGGCTGTTCAGATCATTACTATGAATCAGATACACTCTTACATTCATTTCAAGTTCTGAGGAAGCTTTTGGAATCTCCTGTTAATCAAGACATAATATGTGATGTTGGAATGTAAGTACTATGCAGTTGCAATCTATAGTGTGTTGCCAAGGAACAGAACTGTATTGAAATTATACCATAGGGTTCCACTAGACTGAAATGATTGACAACGAAGGTAGATGGTTTCTAGTACTGATCTTGATCTGTTGAGCATTGTCAAGATAGAATCATAAAAGAAGGACAAAGCCTCTCTAATTGATGCTAGAACAGCGATGCTGGAAAGTAGCAGTGTTTGTTGTTATGTGAAGGATAGTCAAAACTAGGTTTTCTTTTGTTCCTCTGTTTTATATAATTACATGCCCTGTATTAAGGGATCTTGATAGCTGATGTCATGGTGGCCTATGTGTTTGTTACATCCCGAATAGACTACTGCAACATGTTCTATGTGGGGTCGTCTTTGAAGATTGTTTGGAAGCTTCAAATGGTCCAACGGGCGGCAGCCAGATTCCTTACTGGGGCGGCATACAGGGAGTATACAACCCCCTTGTTGTGTCAGCTCCACTGGCAGTGCAATTCAAAGTGATGGTTCGAACGTATCTCCCTCTATGAACCATCTCAGAGTCTAAGATCTTCTGGGGAGGCCCTGCTCTTGGTCCCACCTCCTTCGAAGGTGCGGCTGGTGGGAATGAGAGACAGGGCCTTCTCAGTGGTGTCCCTTCTGCTCCCTCCCCAGTGAAATGAGATCAGTGCCCTCCCTCTTGGTCTTCAGAAGGAACATAAAGACATGGCTATGGGACCAACCCTTTGGACAGTAAAGTAATGCAGTACAAGAAATGAATAGGAAATATGTGCAATTTGGACATTTGGAATGGCTTCAAATTACGATTCTGGATTATGTGATTCTAATGTTATATTAAGATGTTTTCAATTCTGTTTTAATTGTCTAAATGTTGCTTATGTTTTATGTTTAATATGATTTTAAAGGTTTTAATTTATAGTTATATGTCATCGTTTTAGATATTATGCTTTGTTTTTATATATGTTGGCATTGAATCTTGCTATTATTTGATGTACATCACTGAGTCCTGTCCCCCCCCCCCCAGAGTGAGAAAAGCGATATGCAAATGCAGTAAATAAATAAATAAATAAATAAATAAATAAATGTCACTGGTTTTTCTTATTTCTTTAGGCCTGTTATGCATCGAAATGTTCGCTACAATTGTAGAGTGATCTTTCTAAACAGGTATGTTCCCAATTGCCTATAACAAAACAGTATCTGTAATTTCCTGTTGATTTTAATGGAAGACTCAGCACATGCTTGATTGACAATAAAAGTGGAGCTTGTTTCCAAAAGGTACCAAATTTATCTGAATTTTTTTTTACAGAAATCAAAAGAAATGTCATTTTCCAAGCTCTGTGCCAAGGGGATTTGATATATTTTGATCTGGTGCATAATATTCTACTCCTAGCCAACAACGTGCTGCCTCCTATAACTCATTTTTAATTACTTTAGTTTTCATGCCTTTTGGAAACAAACTCCACATTATAGAATGGTGACTTATACCAATGTAACAGTCTTACACCAGTGTAAGGCACTTTTCGAAATTGTTACAGTGAGAAAGAAGAGAATACCATTTCCATCACTGGTAAAAACTCCCCTGCCAACTTCCAAGCAGTCTAAACTAGAATGACTAGAAATGACTTTCTATGCCTGCTACTCAATCCCTGGTTGCCCCTGGGGTTATTTTACTTTTGCAGTTTTAATGCCACCTGTGCTGGCATGGTCATACTGATAAACATGACTTCTCAAAATGGGTTAATTTAAGCAGATGAAAGAACATTTAAATAGTATTTCTTAAAACTCTTGCTTTCATTTGCTTAACATTTGATTGGTTTCTTGGTGTTGTTATTCAAGGAAAATTCTTCTAATACGGCCAAAGATGGCACTGGCAAATACAGGAAACTACCGGGAAATGCGATGGTTTACACCTTGGAGCCGATCACGGTAGGCTACATAAATATTTTTAAATTCTTATTTCATTTATATCCTTCCATTTTTCCATCATGCAACTTAAGGTGTTTAACAGGAGAAGTCATTCCAATCTCCCTTTGAATCATTGACCAACCTCAGACCTTCTTAGCTTCAACATGAAGATCATGTCATGAGATGATCTTAGTGAAATCTTTTTCACTGTGACAACTTTGTATAATTGCATCAGCCATAAACCAAACTTCGCAGCTATTCTAAAGTGTAGACATTATGCATTCTATACTTCGTTGGCTCTTGGTTGAATTAAAAGCTCTTCCAGAGGCTCTTTTTGTAGCCTCTTGAGACTTTTTTTACAGCCTTGTGAATCTTTACTTTATCTATTGTTTATCCTTTTTCAGTGCAAAGGTATTTATATTAGATTGCCTCATGCTGATGACTTTTAGATTACAGCACCCACCAAAGTCTTCTCAAATGACTAGGATGGAGTGCTATAGCACTTCCCAAGGCCTGCTAGAATGGGTAGGGATGAGATGAGTTATAGCCCCAAACACCTGAAGAACATGGGTTTGGAATAAAGCTGCTTTATACCAAGCCTAGTTCATGGCACATCATGTTCACAAAGATATCCCTTGCCTGGGATAGCAAACTGGGTTGTGAAGAAATTGGTATCTTGAGAAGATGGAGTGGGGGAGGGGGTTGTCTCTTAAGAAGAGTGCAGGCTTCCTTTTTATTTTAGCCATTGTTTTAGTTTGATGTTTTTAAAGGAAAAAATGAGTTATATTTTATGAAAGCTCCAAAATTAAGACATCCCAGATAATTTTCTTGCTGAAGTTGTGAAGGAGTATATGGACACTGAACAAGACATATTTATGTACTCGTTTATGGTAAAATTTGATTTCCCCCCCCAGCAATGTAGAAGAATATTTTCTTCCCAGGATAATACAGGAGGTAACGCTTCAGGTAAGGCCATTTCTTCCTGTCTATTAACTTTTCACAAATAAAGGATAGATGGCTTATAGGAATTGCTATTTTTTTTGTTCTGTTTTCTATGAAAATGTCATAACCAGTGGTTTTATTTTTGACTCTATTAATTAAAAATAGACCTGGAAAATGAATAGAAAATTGCAGTGATAGCACTGGTGAGAACATTGGAAACTATGTGCCTTTGGACTCTGAACCACCTAATAAAATTACAGTTGCCTGCCATGTTTCATGTTTAAATTTAGCAGAATTTATTAATATAGTCATTCTATGAATAATTTGGTCCTTCAGCATGACCTTATGGTCAACGTATGATGGAAGTCAACCATGGAGTTGTGCTAGAGGACTTTGAGATTTTGGGGTAAGAATTATAGATGTTAATATGACCCGTGGATAAGTCAAGGGACATTCTGTGTAGAGAGTGAAGCACCAAGGCTAACCAAGGGGGCCAGCTGCCCATGTTGACTGCAGCTGCTGCTGCCATTTTCCCACCCAGGCATTCAAAAAGATATTTAATCACTACTCCGTGAAGGAGATGGTACCTTTAAATAATAATAGAGGTATGGTATTAAACTTACATTAAAAAAGGAACTGAATAACAGGGATATTACAGACAGTCGAGTCATGTTCGACTGAGCTACTTCTTTCTCACTTCAGAAATGCAGAGGAGATCATGGGCACATCTACACTGACCACTAAGGTCAATGTGAAACCGAGAAGGAAGTAATCTCACTGTGTGGACGATTATGTATGAAGTCCTGAAACCAATTCAAAGTCTAGGTTGTGCTTATATATACAGAGGCTAGTCTTCAGCCAGTTCCAGGATTGGGCAATTGTTTTTTTTCTCAACTCCACCTGCTACAATGCGAATGTGTTGATCTCTGGAGCACTTTAATTGCTTTCACCATCTGATGTGGTTTATACGTAGGCATGCTGATGTGTGTTGCTGTGTGTGTTTGTGGTGCACATAATCTAAACACTATACTTCAAACTGCATTAAGTGGTCAGTGTAGATGTGCCCCCTGTTTCCTGTGCCATTTCATAAAGAAGTAAAGCTTGCAAGACTTTGTTGTTATTTATTCGTTCAGTTGCTTCCAACTCTTCATTACCTCCTGGATCAGTCAATGACTACAAGTGTTGTATTGTCTCCTTCATTGTGCCGAGATTGTGGATGGTTCCAGCAACATAAATCCTACTAATTATTCTAGCAATAATGGCATAGATCATAGGAATGGAGGCTCACTCTTTCTGCCAATACATCTACCAATCCTGCTCTCCATTTGTTGATGGGGGATATGAAGAAGTCTGACATATACGTATATACATTGAACATATAGGGCTTCAGATCTTGGAGAAAGCAAATGTGTGTAAGAAAGAGTCTTCCACTAATATATGTTTTTGTTTGAGCGAGAAAACCCAAATTTTCAGTTCTTCTCTGCTGGGTTTTTTGCAATTGTTCAAAATATGACTTTTTCAGAAGACAATTTTCTGCAATATAATGGCCTTTGGGATACTTTCCCCTACTTCTTTTTCAGGTTGCAATGACTTTTGGGTGTGTTCATTGATTACATTACGGTGTTATTAAACAGATTGTACAGGATGTGTCTATCACATTTTTGGCCAAATCTCATTATTATTAGTATTAGCATTAGCATTAGTATTGATTTTTGATGTGCATTCCCCCCACTTCAATGATCCTTAACTTCCTTGTTTATCCCAGGAAAGTGTCCCAATTGGTGATGCGGTACTGTCTACCTTAGATACCTGCATAGGGACGGAAATCTGTGAAGAACTGTGGATACCAACCAGGTATGGGTATCTGGAGAAAGCATCCCTGCAATAATCAAAACCCAAATTGATTACACTGCCAAACACACATTTTGGTGCCTCAAGTGTTAGCCTTTTTACTGGATATATTTGACCTGCTGATTCTAAAAATGACACCAGCTTTCCTTTATCATTTTTTTTTGTTTTTGAGATGCAGAACATATGCCAAATAACCCCAGGAACAGTTTTAAAAACCAAGAAACCAAGAATTTTTGTTGTTGTGCTATGTTATGTTACATCCATGGCCACTAGGTCTGACCTCAGTATTGGATGGGGCACTGGGACTACATATGCATGCAGATAGGCCTGTAACCGAAGCGGGGAGGGTGGCGGTGTTCACTTGTGAATTTTAATCGGTTAACCAATTTATGAGTAAACCAGTTTTTTTTCAACCTGTCACACTTTGGCGGGGGGGGGGGTGTGTGTGCATGGGTTTTGAAACCTTAACCCTCCCCCCTCTTAGCTACAGGTCTTCATTCAGGCATACATGTCTCCCCTCAACCACTCCTCAATGAGCAGATATATGGCAATTCCAACCTCTGTGCCCAGTGCAACATAGGGATTGATTGAAGGTGTGAAGACTGTAGCTTATACATGTGCCTTCCTCAGTATTCATCATGGAGAAAGCTTTTGTTTACTTATCCTTTTTGCCTTCTCACAAGGCTTCTAAAGACGGCGGGGTGGATTATTTTAGGTCTAAGCCCATGCAATTGATAACATGTCAGCATTTTAAGATAAATTCAATTGTGTATCCCAGGATAGCAGAAGGGTTGGACCAGGTGGCCCTTGCATTCCTCATTGTATGGTTCCATGCCTTTGTCATTGCTTTTCTATGTTTAAAGAACCCTCTTGTAAAAATTGATTGTTTAATTTGTACCTTGATTTTTAAAAATTATCTTGGATTCAGTTGCAAACTCAGGGTTGTTGCCCCTGTTATCTCCATACAGTTTTGGAGGGTTCCCCAGCAGTCCAGTACTTTTGGGGGGTGGCTTCCAGAGCATCAGAGAAAATGACCTTCCCTCTGTTTCGTCTAGCGAGAGAGTAGTGAATGCCATTCCTCTCGCAGATCCTGGGAATCCATCCTCTTCTACAAAATAGCAACCTGATTTGGAGTGAAATTACATTTTAAGCAGTCAAAGAAAACGTCATTGTTTAGTCAAATCTGCTTGATCTCACTATTCACATCAGTACTTATAATTAACATTCAGTATGGTGATTTGCAGTTGTGTTTATCTCTTTTATAGCACAGTTAAAAGTTCTAAGGTCATTTGTATGTTTGTGCTCAATTTGTAGTCCTCACATTGAGATGGGAATTGACGGTGTGGAGATCTTCACAAATTCATCAGCAAGTCATCATGTATTAGGAAAAGCTCATACTCGAGTGGAATTAGTAAATTCTGCAACAGCAAAGGTAAATGTTCCTGTAGTCATCTCCCCTACTATAGTAAGGAAGAAGTAAGTGTATGGGTGTTAACATTTTAATATCATCAGTAGAGTACATCAAAATTGACTGCACTTGGAATTCCTTCGCATCAAAGTTGATGTATCATGTGCCATTGGAACAGAGCTTTTATTTTATTTGAACATTCATAAAAACAGAGTCTTTTGGAATTCTTTATCAACAGACCTTTAGGTTTTTGTGAAAATGAAGAAGATCATATCTTTTCTTTTTTCCTTACTTCTGGTCTGTGCATATGTCCAAATCAAATATGAGAACTGGCCATATATTGTGTCTGTATGGATCCTTCTGTATTTAGGAAGGGATTTTATTTGAACTGGGAAGATCTAAGCAGATAAAACTTCCTGTAGTCTGGGAAACCATTGTGGTTAGAGTGTTATGCAAAATTGCTGTATTTATCATGCAAATGAAATTTGACACTGAAAGGTCACTAATCCACCTACATTTATCCATTCAGTTCTGTTACTAAGGAAAGATTCAGTGGGGACAAGTATCTGCTTTTTATGTATAGACACAAAAATAACAAGGTTCTTGTGGGTTTTTTCGGGCTATAGAGCCATGTTCTAGAGGCATTTCTCCTGACGTTTCGCCTGCATCTATGGCAAGCATCCTCAGAGGTAGTGAGGTCTGTTGGAAGTAGGAAAAATGGGTTTATATATCTGTGGAATGGCTGGGGTGGGGCAAGGAGCTCTTCCCTGCTGCAGTTAGGTGTGAATGTTTAGCTGATCACCTTCATTAGCATTTAATTGTATTGTTTATTGCCTGGGAAAATCTTTCGTTGAGCGGTGATTCACTGTCCCTGAATGTTTTCTCTCTGTTGTTTAGCTGTTGTAATTTTAGAGTTTTTTTTAATACTGGTAGCCAGATTTTGTTCATTTTCATGGTTTCCTCCTTTCTGTTGAAATTGTCCACATGCTTGTGGATTTCAATGGCTTCTCTGTGTAGTCTGACATGGTGGTTGTTGTTGTGGTCCAGCATTTCTGTGTTCTCAAATAATATGCTGTGTCCAGGTTGGTTCATCAGGTGCTCTGCTATGGCTGATTTCTCTGGTTGGAGTAGTTTGCAGTGCTTTTCATGTTCCTTGATGCATGTCTGGGCGCTGCGTTTGGTGGTTTCAGCTAATCAAGGTGATAAGCTGAAACATTCACAGCTAGCCCTAGCAGAGGTGAGAGGATCCCTCTTGTCCTTTGCTGAACGTAGCATTTGTTGGATTTTCTTGGTGGGTTTGTAGATTGTTTGTATGTTGAAATAAATAACAACTTGGAAATAAATAACAACTTGGAAGTTTGCTTGCAAAAGTTAGTGACCTGAGGGATCTTCCTATCGGTTTTCATGAATGTAAGACTAATCCAAGGGGGCTTGTTGACTATTATTTGCTGCTACTTTTTCAACACTATGACTAGATTGCAAAATAAAATGTAAAACCATATACATGTGTATAATATGGTTAAGTCTGAAAGGGTTTACTGAATAACATTCTTCTTTTCAGAATGGTGGCATATATCTCTTAGCCAATCAGAAGGGCTGTGATGGTGATCGTCTCTATTATGATGGCTGCGCCATGATTGCTATGAATGGAAGCACCATTGCTCAAGGTGTTCAGTTCTCTCTGGATGATGTGGTAATGCTAATTAACTAAAACATATGTAAATGGCATGGGAAAGGATAAACATGCTCACAGTGCAATTTACAAATTACTGAATATAAACTGAGGCACCTGATTTTACCACAAAAAACTGGGAAAACTTATTGACTCGAATATAAGCCTAGGATGGGGAATGCAGCAGCTACTGGGCAATTTCAAAATAAAAGTAGATATCCATAAAATTACATTAATTGAGGCATGGAGCTTCTCTTGGCATAGCAACCCAGCCAAGAGGAGAAGCTGCATGTTGCTGTGCCAAAAAGGGAGGAGGAGTTCAACTGGCCTTCCTGCCAGGACCCTCACTTGAGTATAAGCTGAGGGGACCCTTTTCAGCATAAAAATGTGCTGAAATACTCGGCTTACACTTGAGTATATACAGTAATTACTGAAATTAAAATCCATATTAGGCCCTTGTGTATCAAAAATTGTTTGTATGCTTTAATATTGGAATATATTAAGAACTTCTATATTGCCTTCCATTTGATTGCTGCTATAAAAATGAATATAAGTAGAATGGCCATCTGTCAGGGGGTGCATGGAATGCTTCTTGGCAGGGGGTTGGACTGAAGGGCCCATGAGGTCTCTTCCAACTCTATGATTCTGTATAGTGAAAACTCGGTGAGAACACAGAACCACACAACTAATTTATTTTTCCTTTCCTTTTCAGGAAGTCTTGGTTGCCACACTAGACCTAGAAGATGTCAGAAGTTATAGGGCAGAAATATCCTCTCGAAACTTAGAAGTGAGATTAATCATCATTTACATCCCAGAACAACCAAGCCTGTGAAAACCAGGCCTATTTCTATAGATAAATGCTGTACTCCCTTTGTTTCCTTAATTGCCTTTTCTTTTTGTTTAAACATTCTTAGGCCAGTAAAGTGACTCCCTATCCCAGAATAAAAGTACACTTTGCACTTTCATGTTCTGATGACATATGTACACCTACAAGTGAGCCAATCCAGTGGAAATATCATAGTATTCCAGAGGAAATCAGGTAAGCAGAAACAGAGAAATCAGCTGTCCTGTCTTGTCCTGTTCAGGCACAACTCCTTGTTCATGCTGTGACAGTTACTGCAGTATCATGCATGAGTCAAGCAGAATGGTAATGAACAGTTTCAACCTTTGTCTGTCTTTCCAGGGCTAGTATTTTTCTGAGACTGATATTTTCATAAATTTCTTCCTGAGTCCTTGTTTATCTTTCTAAACATATTTGGAATACTTTCTGGCTTATAGAATGACGTTTTCTTTTTCATGATTTAGTGCTGTTCAATCTTATACTTAAATACTTAAGATTAGTAATAGAACAGAATGTTCTTAGAACTTTTTTTTCCACACTCCACATTGCACGCTATACCAATTCTTTCCCTTTTTTCATCAACTTCATACTAATATGTATTCTTCTATTTTCCCTTATTAATGAGATCATATATTCACAATTAATAATTAAGATGTTCAGGCACTTTAATACTAAACATGCCAAGTGAAATTAATTTTACTGACTTTATACCCTTAGCTAAAATCCGTGTGATAGATTTGTTATTGGGAGGTAGCATTTCAGACAGCATGACAAAGCACTGCCCCTCATTTGTTGTAATTTATAATGAACCTATGACACTATGCTGCTCAATCCTAGTGGGATTAAACAGCATAAAGAATGTTTATAGGCTGAGTTAACATATAAGGTTTAGGATGTTTCCCTAAGAAGAGGGAGAACCAGATTCTAGTTTAGAGTCAGCCGTAAAACGGAAGGAATGTGTGACCTTTTGCCACCTTCCATATTTTGTGAGGAGTACAATCCTTTGAACACCTTTACAAAATATGGTACAGTGGGTTCTTAGTATCTGCTGAAGTTTGGTTCCCAGGTCCACCCATGGCTACCAAAATCTGTTGATGCTCAAGTCCAGTTATATACGGTGGTGTGGTAAAATGGTGTCCCTTATGTAAAGCGGCAAGAACAAGGTTGACTTTTGGGATTCTCTATTGGAATATTTAATAGCTGTGGATGAGTGGGTATAGGATCTGTGAATATGGAGGGCTGACCACATGTCTCTTTGAACACCTTATGGCAGTGGTTCTCAACGTGTGGGTCCTCAGGCATTTTGGCCTACAACTCCCAGAAATCCCAGCCAGTCTACCAGCTGTTAGGATTTCTTGGAGTTGAAGACCAAAACATCTGGGGACCCATTGCCTTAAGGAAAGGTGGAATACAGACAAGGGAAAATGGGAAATCAGAACCTAAAAGTCTCTTCTTTTGTGACATTTTGTTTTTTGGTTCTGACATTAAAATACACCTAGTACACAACCATAGCTGATTGGAGTAGGTGAAACTTGTAAAAGGGGTGGTGGTAAGAGAGATTACTAATCCCCTTTCCAGTACATTTCATTTCTTGTTTGCATCTATTTTGAAAAGGTGCATCTCTCATTGGTGCACAAAATAGGCTCTTCATAACTGATGCAATAAGTGCATAATATTAGCAGACAAATCCAAAAACCTTGAATTGTAATTTTCTGTAGGAATCTATGTGTTTAATTATAATCTAAATTGTTAAAGCTCCATTGACTTTAGTAGGTTTTATCTCTGAGTAAACATGATTAGTTAATGCTGCAGATTATATATGTGGTCACACCATGCGAATGAAGGCCATGATATTACTTTTAAAAAAGGCAGGAGAGACAAATGAAAGAAAACAAAAAACAACCCACCAATGTATATTAATTTTGAAATATGCTTTTTTACTTTCAGCCTTGGTCCTGCATGTTGGCTTTGGGACTATTTAAGGCGTAGCAAACAGGTAAAGATGTCCACTTCCTTACTCATCAAATAGTTTAGCATTTTTAGCAGAACCTATCTATCAATTTGTGGTGTAGTGGTTTGGGTGTTGGACAAGGACACAGAAAGGCCATTCAGCCATCAATATCTACTTTGGGCAAGTCACACTCTCTCATTCTCAGAGGACAGCAAAGGCACATCTCCTCTGAACAAATTCTGCCAAGAAAATTGTTGTATTTTGAAAGCTTCAGCATAAATCAGAAATGACTTGAAGGCACACAACACTGAATATGTTTTTGAGAAAATCTAATTGTGCCATTAATATAAAGTGTATAGTTTAGTCCTGCTTCCTGTTGCCTATGGAAGTAATGGATAGGGTTTTTATTGGTTTGTCTTTTAAATATGTTTTCAAATACTGTACTTTGCTCTCCACTCAGAGAGTTCTGTAAATTGAGAAGAAAGTGGGAATTTGGAGTCATAGTAGTAAGGATGGGAATTTAGTTCAGAAGCACAACTACACCTGGACTTTCCTACAATTGCTACATGGTTATTGGTTTGAGCATGCTGGCACATTCCTTTATTTTACCATATTGTTATTTCTTGGAGTTCCAATGGCTAATATCTGACAACAGTCTCTAGAATGTGATAAGAATGGAGAAGGAAAATAAAAAGAAACATATCCCCATACATTATCTTTCTTTTTTTGCTAGAACATTACTTCACTTCAGTTTCTATTTCTATAATGCTATATAATTTATTTATTTTGTTTATTTACGACATTTCTATCCCGTCTTTCTCAAGCCTGAAGGAGACTCAAGGCGGCTTACAAATTGGCAGCTATTCGATGCCATAAGAATCCACAATATATGTACAATTAAAACATTTAAAACAGCATTATAAAATCAATATAAAATATAAACATTCTATGTTATATATTTTGCTTCTTTCTGTGTTGACCATATTATGGTGTTACTACAGGATGCAGTTCTGAAAAGCAAGAAGCCCAATAAGCTGATGAGTTGGCCTTATTGTGCCACCCCCCCCCCCCCAACCAATGCATGATTACATTAGGGTGTTGTGTGGTTTCTGGGCTGTATGGCTGCGTTCTAGCAGCATTTTCTCCTGAAAATCTTCAGGAGAGCCAGGCACAGATGCAGGCAAAATGCCAGGAGAAAATGCTGCTGGAATACAGCCATACCGTCTGGAAACCACACAACACCACTGTGATTCTGGCTGTGAAAGCCTTCGACAATACATGATTACATTAATGTGCATTTTCCAGAGCTCTTTTTCTGGAATAACTTGGCTCAAACTGTGAAGGGAGCCCTTCTGGCTACATGTAACCAGAAGTAGACAACTTCAGGTACAGAATTCTGCACTGTCGACTTAGGAAAAAAAAGAGTTGAGGATGTAATTTCAGAATAGTCAATGCATTTTTGTTGTTTCTTTTGTTGTGATTTCTTAAGGGAGGATTTCTCTTGCCACTGAGTGGTGGGGTGGACAGTTCAGCAACAGCCTGTATTGTGTACTCCATGTGTCGTCGTATTTGTTACGCTGTAGAAAATGGAAGTAAGTGCACCTTAAAACTGGAGATGTACCAAAAGTTTGTTATAGCATGGGGTGGGGAAATTCTGTTGGACCAAGTGTTAGTTATTCAACATCAGTCGACAAACAATCAGACACCATCAATCAAAGTGATCTTAAGTCCACTTATGATTTTGCTTTTTTTGGATTTCATGGGTGGAGCCCATTCCTGATTCAAAACTGCTTCCTTGCATGGGAAAACTAGCTTCCTAATCTTAAAATGTTTTTTGCCAAAGGTGATGACCACAAGGGTGGGGTGGGGTGGGGTGATGAGCTACAAAAGAAGATTAAATTGCATTCACATGACCCACAAGTTGCACTTTGTCAATCCCTTCTATAGATAATTATTTGTCATGTGCTTATAAAATTTATTTTCTTCTTCTTGTGTCTCAGTTGAACATATAGCTTATATTGAATAACACGATCAGTCAACCCTACTCAATATTGCTAATACTAAAGGTCTTGCTTGGAAGTTGCTCAGGATTGGGACTTTCTGTTAGCAAAGCATGTGTTGTACTATGGAGCTACCTTTTTCCCCTTGAAGGAATTCTCTAGGCACCCAATCCCAAATCCTAAGATTCACACCAATAATCTTGTGCATCTTTACATTACAGGGGAAGGATAAGCCCTCTTTCCGAGAAGCTAGTCCTTCATTAGTGACCTTCTAATTGAGACAGTCTTGGGGGAACATGCTGTTCTTTACAACGAAGTTTCAACATCAATGTCGTAAAACATGGCCTTGTTCCTAAAATGTGTGTTTGGGGTGAAAACAAATATTTTAGAACTTCAGTCACAAAGAGCTCTGTATTTCCAAGTATTCCTGTTGTGACATGTTCTACTTATTGGCATTATTATTATTTGTTTTGGGGGAATTACAAATTGATATATAAAGGCAGTCGCTTTCAGCCTGAAAAGGGTGGGATAAAAGTGTGGTAAATAAATAAAGACATTTTTTTTTGTAGAAATTGTTTCTGGTGGAAGCCTTTTTGGTACTTTTTCATCCAAAGTACTGATATAGATTTTTAGCTGTGGAAGATATCCAAAGCCTATAAGGAAATGATGGTCCTAAGTGATTGAAACCGAATCATAAATATACTTGAAAACAGTAGTACAAGTTCATCTCTGTCTTAAGCTTGGGCAGCCTTCGTTCAAGGCCAATGTATCTAAGAAGATAACAACCTCATTTTATTACAGTGTGAGATAACTGAGGTCTCTTGAGAAGAGCATTTCACTGCAAATAATTCTCCTTGTAGTGGTATAGAGAAAAGATGCAATCCGGCCAACAAGGAGTATTCCATTCCCATTTATTCCTGTGATGATGTTTGAAATACATGAGGCATCTATTGCACTGAAATTCAGAAGATCTTAGAGATGCTTCACTTTAACCTGCTCATGCCCAAATTGTTGCAAAACCACATTTTTAAACATGCATATTTAAGTGTAAATTTCATGAAACACTATAGTATACTATATTTCCAAGAAAAAATGTATTCAATTATACTAGTTGTGTGCTAGAAGAAAAAGCAAACCTAACATGTGTTTAACAGAAGTAATAATGTGCATCCAAATGCTTAATGTAATCACATTTTCTTTTGTTCATATCTTGTATAAACTAAAATGAATTATGCAAGCTATTCCCTTCTAAGGAGTGCTTAATTATGTGTAACCTTGAAGAAAAGAAAGTGTGTTTTATGTTAATCTCTCATTTAATATTCATCTCTTATGTTTAATAATAATAATAATAATAATAATAATAATAATAATAACAACAACTTTATTTGTAGACCACCCTATCTCCCCGAGAGGACTCAAGTTGGTTTCCAACACATATGGCAAACATTCAATGCCAACAAAGAAACATATCAACAAATTACATCAAAACGAGACACATTAAACAACATCAAACAGCCTAACTGTAAACTTAGTACCAAAAAACTTAACCCTTGAAGACAGAATCATAATTTGATTTCTGTTAAAGAAAGCTTACCTAAACCAGTAAACTGGAATATATCTGTTTTCATCTAATACTGCGTTATATTTTTCAAAGTGAAACAGTGGATTTTAATTTTGTTATTTTGGAAACAGACATTCTAAAAAAGATTCACTCAATTTGTTTCCCTTTGGTTTGTTTCCTTCTCATTATTTTTAGATCAGAGTGTTTTGGATGATGTACGTAAGATAGTAAACGATAAGGCCTATATACCAAAGGAGTCACAGGAATTGTGTGGGCGCATCCTGACAACTTGCTACATGGCTAGTGAGAACTCTTCTCAAGAAACATACAACAATGCAAAATCTTTGGCTGGAGAAATTGGCAGGTATACACGCGTGCTTATAACATATAGTATGATAAAAAGCATGTGGGCTCCAATTCCAATCAACTTAAATGTGACAGCTATCATGGCACTATATCGGAATGGTTGTTCAGTTAAAAAACTACTTTGGGATACCAGCTTCTTTCATTGGATTAGGTAAACCTCACAATGTCCTATGGTTGCTGAATCTGGAAAATAAATCACACCTTACATTGTTTGATGCACAGAGATTTCTCTCTCTATTTTAAATTTCTTTCCTTTGTTTTAAGAATACCAATTAGATTAAGCAGGAGTGGTATGTTAACCCAGCAGTCCTTTATTTCAGTTGTGAATGTTTCCCAGACCACAGATGTGGAGTGTAACAACAACACATTTTCTTCCAATACAGTAATACACTGAGTTAAGAGTTTAATTCATTCTGTGACCGAGCTGTTAACTCAAATTGCTCTTATCTCAAAGCAAATTTTCCCGTTGAGTTGATCTGTTTCAACCCCACCCCATTTTTGTTATATGTTTTTAAATAAGAAAATGTATTTTATAGATAGATATTTGAGGCGACAAAATGTGTCGGCCAATGTAACAGGAAGGCAGAACCTGCATATTCGCATGGAACAATAAAAAAAGAAAGATCTACTTTAAAATGGTAGAACCACAAAGTTATGGCACAATGGTAGATGCACAAAGTTGTGGCAAAGGTGCACAAAGTACAAAGCAAAGAGGCATAAGCATCATTTTCTTCATACTGTATTCATTCCAGCCTCCCTTCCTCTCTTGCTCTATCTCCCTCTCTCTCTTTTCATGAAGCCAAACATAAAAACCACAGAAAATCAACTAACTCAAAATTCCTTAAACTGGACAACAGCATAGCGGACAGTAATCTCCCAAAGTGGACAAGAGCATGAGGCACAGAGACTGCTCCATTGAAGTCCTAAAATCCTGTACTCTTGCACTCTTTCTGGTGCTAGCGCTCTCTCTGACACTAGTTCTTAACTTAAAATGCTGCTTATATGTCAAGGTGAAACCCAGGGCAAACAACAGCTCTTAACTCTAAACACTCTTAAGTTGGGATGCTCCTAATTCGAGGTTCCACTGTACCTTAGAATCATAGAATAGAATCATAGAATGATAGAGTTGGAAGAGACCTCGTGGGCCATCCAGTTCAACCCCCTGCCAAGAAGCAGGAAAATTGCATTCAAAGCACCCCCAATAGATGGCCATCCAGCCTCTGTTAAAAAGCCTCCAAAGGAGGAGCCTCCACCACACTCCGTGGCAGAGAGTTCCACTGCTGAACAGCTCTCACAGTCAGGAAGTTCTTCCTAATGTTTAGATGGAATCTCCTTGCTTATAGTTTGAAGCCATTCTTCCATGTCCTAGGCAGCAGAAAACAAGCTTGCTCCCTCCTCCCTATCACTTATTGTAATTTTCTTATTACTGTACCTCCTTCTCTGCCTCTCAGATCTCGCACATGCACACTGCACCACTTCACTGCAGTCTTCAGGAGCGAGATCTGAGAGGCAGAGGAGGAGGTACGGTAATAGGATACAAGGGCGGGCCAGACAGTAACTTTATCTCTTTTTTTCCATACCCTGGGTGCCCTTTGAGCTCCCCCCACAGTATGCAGCAACCACAGATTCTCCAATCTGGATTGGAAGTTTCAGCACCCACCCTATAAGACGACTCCCGGCATATAAGACTACTCCCTTGTATAAGACGACTCCTGCGTATAAGACGACCCCTGACTTTTGAGAAGATTTTCTTGGGTTAAAAAGTAGTCTTATTCACCAGAATATACGGCATTTTTTCTTTCTGCCCAGGGTATTTCTGTTTACTAAATGTGATAAAGGCCTTTCTTTGTATTGCACAATCCTATATGAAGGGTCTTAAAACACGTTTCCTTATTTGATCACGCCAATGGATATTTTATTTCACTTATTTCAAGCCATTTCTTCCGCTAAACTAAACAATGAAAAATATCGGATCCAAAGATACATTAACACAAGATTCACCCAAGCATCCCACTTTTTCCATCCCTCCAGCCATTGCTTGTGCCTCTCAGAAGGCTTCTCTTGTTGTATGATGGGGCCCTCATGAACAACTGGGCAAGAGGAGCCATCGTTGTCGAGGAGTGTGCTTCCAAAAGCTAACTTACGTTAATGTATCTTGAGTTCCACCTTTTTTTTCTTTTTGAGACTGTCAAATTTTTAAACACAAACTTACAGACAGGTTTCATTTTCTTTCTTTTTTTAGCTATCATATAAACATAAACATAGATGGAGCAGTGAAGGCCATTTGGGGGATCTTCAGTACAATAACAGGCCGGCTGCCTCAGTACCGAGTTGATGGAGGAAGTGCCAGGGAAAATCTGGCTCTACAGAATGTCCAGGTACATTTGTTGTTTCATCTTTATCTTTCCTTGTTTTACTCTTAATTTTCCAAGGGAGACAAATTTCCCTTTGTTTGAGGGAGATGCAGATTTACTATTTATATCAGGCACGGGTAAACTTCAGCCCTCCAGGTGTTTTGGACTTTAATTCCCAAAATTCCTAACAGCATTGATTGTAAGGAATTATTGGAGTTGAAGTCCAGTTTTCCATGCCTGATCTATATCCTAGGAAGTTGTTGACTTTCAAGAACACGGTAGAGCTGGATTATGGCAGAGACAGTTGCTAACTTGCAGAGCCAATGTCAGATAATTCATTTAGTCCATGCACACTTTACCAACATCTGCTTTCTACCTTCCTCAGAACAGAGAGGCACAGTAAGACCCCCGTATCTGCAAGGGATACGTTCCCACCAGGCCACAGATTACCGAAACTACGGATATGACTGAATGGCATTAAATTACTTGACCTCTGATCTCAGCATGCCATAGAGTTGGATTTTAGGACTTGAGAGATTCCTGGAGAGGTGTCTTCTAGAAATTTGGCTAGTGGCAAGGAATTGTGGGAGTTTTAGTCCAGAGTATCTCCAGGATTGAAAGTTGCCTGTCTCAGCTTTACACAGTACTTCATTCTACTGTCACTGATACATAGATTAACTATGACCAGCCCTTCAATAGTTCTTACTTTATTAAAGGCTGGTTTCTAAATTTGATTTCTAGGCCAGAATACGAATGGTGCTCGCCTACTTGTTTGCACAGCTGTCCTTATGGACTCGTGGGATGCCTGGTGGACTGTTAGTCCTTGGATCAGCTAATGTGGATGAAAGGTGTGTGCTAGTTAAAATTGTTACGTATTAAGAATGAAACTCTCGACTGACGTACGCAGATTCTTGAAGTGCAGGCTGAAGAAAAAATAAAGAAGAATCTCTGAACATCAAAAGTGCATTGGGAGGGGAACTCAATCAGCTGGTGTTTGTAGGTATTCAACTGCTTCAGCAGTTGCCTAGGATATAATCACATTGGGATATAATTCATTTATATCAATATGCATATTATTTTAGGACTGGATGCATACTGTATTGAGACAGGATGCATACTCTCCTCATCACACCTGATTATTACAATTCTTATGATTTCAAAATACTGCACTTTGACTCATCACACCACAAAAGACTGGCTCCTCCGAATCCATTCAACCCCCCCCCTCCCGCCCCCACATCATTCTATGACCTTTTAAAAAGTATTGTTGCTGATGGGATGCATACAGATTTTCCTCTAATACACAGAAACAGTGCTTGATTCTGTTTAAAGCTTTACAAAGCCTTCAGGATTTTGATGTCACATGTCAATATGTTGGTTTTGGTATATATACCGTATTTTCTGACATACAAGGTGACTGGGAGTATAAGACGACCCCCCCCCAAAAAAAAAAAACCTTTTCAAGACAAAATACAGAGTTAGGGATATACCCGTCATTTGAGATGACTCCCCATTCCATGGAGACCGGCTGGGGGTGATGACCCACTGGGCTGTCCCCGGGACCCCCGCCGCTCTACTGTAGGAGTCAGGGAACTACGGCTCCCAGAATACCTCAGTGAGCAAGTCCCGGGCACGCCGCCACCCGGGCTGCTGGGAGTCTTCTTTCGGAGGTGCAAGGAAGCGCCTTCGGACCCCCAGCAGCCCCGGGCTGCGGCATGCCTGGGATGTGCTTGCTGAGGCATTCTGGGAGCAGTAGGAGTCAGGAAACTATGGCTCCCAGAATGCCTCAGCGAGCACATTCCATGCACGCCACTGCTGGGGCTGCTGGGAGTTGTCTGAAGGTGCTTCCTTGGGCCTAGACAAGTCCGATGGCCTTCGAAGGAGGTGAATGTCGGGGGCAGAGGAGGGCCATGAAAGTAGAGCTGGGAGGCCAACAGGGCCACGGGCCATGGGGACAGCCCAGTGGGCTATCACCCCCAGCCGGTCTCCATGGCAATATGGACTGCCACTTCTCCCCATGCCCTCCCTCCCTCCACCCCCCTCCTCCTCCCCCCTCCTATAGAAATATAGTAAATAAATAAATTTGAATATATGTAACTATATGTTGATCTCCACCTTGTAGATTTGATGCCCTTATGAAATCCTGTTAACTTTAACTCTCCTTACCCCAAAACAATGCTAAGGTTTTTTTTTTTTAATGTTCTGCCCTTTAGCCTTTGGGGATATTACACGAAGTATGACTGTTCCAGTGCTGATATCAATCCCATTGGGGGAATTAGCAAGGCTGACTTGAAAACTTTCATCCAGTATTGCACTGAGAGTTTCCACTTGATGTCCCTCAAAGGGTAAGACGTAACTTGATGAGGCTTTGATTCTAAATGCATTCTGCTGGGAAATGGGTTAGCGTCTTGACACGGTTTCTCTCCTGTGATAATTATAATGTTGCTGAATGTTACAGAATGCTAATCTTAATTGGTACTTGTCACCCTGAGTACTCTCCAGGGTGACAAGGGTGGGGTACAAGTATGAGAAATAACTTAATTGCAGTCCAGTTCCAAAGGCCGATACTGGTTAAAGCATGCTTTCATCTACTGTGGTTTCCTTATCTAACTGTAAACTACCCCTTGGTACATAAACAATGCCTAATTAAATATCAAAATAATAAACATCTTCCAGAGAAATACACATTTGCATTGGCATGAAAATCAAACTCTGGTGCAGGTAAAAGAACAGAAACTGCAAGTAAATAAGAGTATAGCCTTCTCAGACATTGTGCTTGTCAAAGTTAATACAAGTCAATTTTATATGAATAGGATAGAGTTGCATTTAATGTTTTTGTGGCATTCAGTGGCCAGAATGCTGGTGGTGTATAATATCCCTGGTGTAAGCAATTGCATTAGGAAGCTAAAGGCCATGAGTGCAGAAGGGATGAAGGAAATCAAGCACTGGAGAAATCAGCTGTGCAGATGAAACAGATTTAGTCTGCTTACCTCCACTACTGCCATACAGTCCTAGTAAAAGTGCAGCCACTACCTTTGTGTACCAGCAAGGAATACTCTCTGAAATATGGCCTCCAGCACAAGGTATTCATTGGCAGTTCTCATCCAAATCCTGTCAAGGCTAACCCTTCTTAACCTCCAGTATCAGACAGGGTCAGGTTCCTTTAGGATATTTAGGCCTATCAAAATAAATAAAAAGTAAGCTTCAAATAAATAGCCTTTTCTGAATTTACTATTTTGAAAAGGTACAGCAAAAGAAATACTGTATGCAGGAGCCCTTCACAATATTTCTACAGTATGGCTACTTAGATTTTGATTACAAACAAATAAAATATAGTCAAAGGCTTTCATGGCCAGAATCACCTGCGTTGTTGTAGGTTTTTTTGGACTGTATGGCCATGTTCTAGAAGCATTCTCTCCTGACGTTTCACCTGCATCTGTGGCAAGCATCCTCAGAGGTTGTGAAGGGCCTGAAGCTGTTAGAAACCTCACAACCTCTGAGGATGCTTGCCACAGATGCAGGTGAAACGTCAGGAGAGAATGCTTCTAGAACATGGCCATACAGCCCAAAAAACCTACAACAACCTAGATAAAATAGAAATAAATCTTTGTACAGGATGAATTCATTCTTACATGTTTTTTTTAAATCACTGCAGTGTTATCAAGATAGTACATGAGTAATTTTACAATATGTAACACTCATATTCTTCCATTAAGAAGAATAATATTCTTCTTTTAGTCATTGTTTTCGGGGAGATGGAATATATTGAATCAGGGTGGCAGTAAGTGGGAAGCACTTCTTCCTTAAAGCAAATCAAGAAACTTATCTTACTGCTTGGATTTCTTTTATCTGTACAGCATTCTATCTGCACCACCAACAGCAGAGTTGGAGCCAATGAAGAAAGGGCACATCGTTCAAACCGATGAGGTAAAGAGCAGTCATTACAAAGCTCCTCTGTAGCCCTAATTTGTAGCTAATGCATGTTTATATGGTATTTTAACCTTGCACCAAGCGTAGTCTAGATTTTTGGGAAGGCTTGACCTTCTAGAGACCATAATCTTTTGGAAAACCAGGAATCTCCATAGTCTTTTGGAAGTGTGACCCTTTTGGAGATTAATTGACATTCACACCTCACCTCTGAGGAAGCTTGCCATAGATGCAGGCGAAACGTCAGGAGAAATGCTTCTGGAACATGGCCATATAGCCCGAAAAAACCCACAGGAACTGAGACATTCACACAGTTTGGAATAATCATAACCTTTTGTGAAGTACGATCTTCCTGAGAAGAGTTAAATACTCATTTGAGTGAATCTTATCCTTAGTGGTAAATATCCACTATTATTCATGCAAGGCAAATTAGGCTTCTCAGTTGTTAGACTAATATACCCAGTTATCTCTCTGAACTGTTAGGAACAAAGATATGCCAATGCACAAAATAAATAGCAGATCTTCAGAAGTGTTCTTTCAGCCCCTCCCCCCCAAATTTACTCTCCCATAAAATATGTAACTTTTAAATCATACTCTCAAGAGACCAAAAATAACTAGTCTTCATTAAAAATAAAGTTGATTCACTTACAAACTTCATGTATTGAGCATATGAGCATACAGGTACATTTCTTATTGGTTGATAGTTTAAACAATCTGTTCTCTAAAGCATTCTGTTTTAGTCTCTTTTTTGTTGCTTACAGACTAGCACCCTCTTCAGTCTAATACATTACTGAATGTTGACTAAATAAAGACTGACTTTACACTGCAGCATACTGTACTGACTAACTTCATAAACTGTATTGCTTCTGATGCAAACTCTTAACACACTACTGTACTGAAGTAAACACTGGCTTTTAAAATGGAGTCTCAGTCTGAATAATCCCAGATCTGGTCACATGGTCTGCAGTTCCTCCCACAACCCCAAACAACATAGAGTTAAGGGAAAACTGCATATCAATATACACATATGATATAGTAAGCAATCACAATTATATACATAACTAGTATAGGACGCTTGTAGAAGGTTGCTATTTCCAACAGAGATTTCTTTTGTCAAGAAAAGCTTTTTTTTTTGACATAGTAAATTGCTTGTACAAGTTCATGCCTTTCCCAATTTTTTCCTGATGGAAACCTGTAAAGTGGGTCGCTAACTTGTTGCCCTGTTTTGGCTGGAACTGATGAGAGTTGCTATCCACCATTTTGTAAGGAAATACTCAGTGGACGTATACTGGCATATGAAGTCTCTCCATAACATGATGTCATTGTTGCCCAGAAAATACTTCTGTTGTGACCTGTAGCCAGGGCTATCAAACTTTGGTGCTCCAGATGTTTTGGGCTTCAGCTCCAAGAAACATCAGTCAGCTTGTCCAGTATTCAGGGATTTGGGAGATGAAATCCAGAAGCATATGGATCAACAAAATATGAGAATAGTGTTCTGGGCACTTCAGAACCCAGTTTCCAGGACATTCACCAACACAGACATCACCCATGTCTCCTTAACAGTATACATAGTGGTTCTCACAATAGAAACCATGATGGCTTCCTTTTCATCTCCACAAACCTTTGGAATGTGTTTTGAATGCAATTATTTATATATGGATTTATTTATTTGACATATTTATGAGTTGTCCATCTGCCCACAGTGGCAAACATCCAGTACAAACTGGATTTTTGGTCACACATAAAATGGCATCCAAAGCCATTAAAAACTTGATGCAACAGTGTGATTTAATGTTCCAGATTCAATCCTTGGCATCTTGGACCTATTCATAGCTCACACTTAGAATGTTATGATTACACTTTGCTATGGTGAAAAATCCATGGAATCCTAGACTTTTTTGTTTTGAGGATGTGTTAGAGCTCTGTAGCTCAGCATCCTAAATGCCCTTCCATCCACTATAAATCCCAGAATGCCATAGGATGGCATCATAGCTGTTAAAGTGGAATTACAGCATTATTATTATTATTATTATTATTATTATTATTATTATTATTTAGAGCAGGTGCTATTGCACTAAATGGACCTTTAAGAGTGTGCATTATGAATCCATGCTCTAATTCAGTTTTGATTTGATCTGTCCTGTGTGTGTGTGTCTGTCTCTATTCCTTTCTCTCTGTGTGTTTTTATGTTTAATTTCAGGCAGATATGGGGATGACATATGCTGAACTCTCTGTCTATGGCAAACTAAGAAAGATAGCAAAGGCTGGACCTTACACCATGTTTTGTAAACTCATCACAGTATGGAAAGAGATTTGTTCTCCGAGAGAGGTAACAGAAAAACAACAAACAATATTCAACCTGAGGTCCTAGACTGTGACTTAGGATAGAGTGTGAAACAAAGGAATTTTACACTCAGGAAAAGGATAATGTGAAAATGGCCTCACAACAGGAAAGGATATATCACAATTTCCCCCTCTGGGTATAACATATATAAAGAAGGAATGAGATAATATTTAGAGGAGAGCATTCAAATATATTAGCCTTAGATTGGGAAGCTGGCATTGTGTTGAAAGCAAATTCTTCTATCGTGTATGAAACTGCTGTATTTAGACTAAATTCTGCCTTGATACAGTGGCTTCATTTGGACATCACGGCAAAGCATTATTAAGGAAACATCAAGTTGATTTGATAGAGGTTATTTCCACAATTATGAAAAAATGTATTCTGTATTGTTGTGACTGTATTCAGGATGATACTTTGTTATATTTTGCTCTTTGCACAATATAATATTGCTTTAATCTGAGGGGGTTTTTTTGGAGGGGGGTGTCAGTTACAAACCTGTGAGACTGAACATAGCTGGAGTCAGATAGATTTCAACTGCACATATTCCACCTCTATTTAAGAACTCCTTTTTCATCTAGAATTTTCATTAAGGTCTGAATAAATCCAGGCTTCCTGGCCCTAAAATACTTTTTGTACACTAGGTGGCATCAAAGGTTAAGCATTTCTTCCGAATGTATTCTGTCAATCGACATAAAATGACAACTCTCACACCATCCTACCATGCTGCAAACTACAGTCCTGATGACAATCGGTTTGATCTGAGACCTTTTCTGTATAATTCCACCTGGTCCTGGCAGTTCAGATATATAGATGAACAGGTATGTATGATCTCGTTCTTCTGTGTTTAGTGGCCTAGCTATCACTGTAATACGGGAATATATTCACTTGCACGTCTTCCACATTTGAGGGTTTAACTTTTGCAGATTTGAATTTTCATGGATAATATGATCTGAGAAGCAAGGTTACAAGACATGTAGCTCTCGCTGGGAATTTTTGCGGGGGAAGTTCGTATCACTGCCGTGTAGCGGGAAGCCAGTGGAAGTGAATGAGCAGTGCCAGTTGTTAATAGCTCATCAACTGTCATTGTTGTGAAGGTTAGAGATGAGCATTCTCATTGTGTTTCCCGCCAAGTGCGAAGTTCGCGCTGCAGTATGCTTCCTAAATGCTAAGAACATGAACGCTGCTGCGATCCACCACGAAATCATCTCAGTTTATGGAGAGAACATAATGTCAAGACATCACGTGACAATATGGGTACGGAATATATTGTGAGACCAATAAAGAAACTTCACAGAGCCATCCAAAACAAGCGTCATGGGATGCTGACATCGGGAGTCTGTCTCCTTCATGACAATGCCTGTCCGCACAGCGCTCATGCAACACAAGAGTTGTTGACTTCATTTGGTTCAGATGTTTTAAGCCACCCCTCTCACATCCCCCTTGTAGCACAGGTTCGGATATTTTAAGCCACCTCTCTCACAGTGGCTATCATCTCTTCACTAAATTAAAGCAACACCTTGGTGGAAAACACTTTTCCAATGATGACAAGGTGAAAATCGAAGTGAAGAACTGGCTGAAAAAGTCAGAGGGAAACTTCTATGACACAGGCATCAAAAACTCATCTCATGGATGAGAAAATGTATTGAACTGAATGGTGATCATGTGGCAAAATAATGTATTACCTATGCTACAATCCGTGTAAGTTTTATTAAAGTATATTCATCCTTTATATTTAAAAAAAACCTTGTAACCTTACTTTCCGGATCACCCTCATATCTACATTGAAGAATTAATGCAGTCTGACACTACTTTACTTGCTGTAGCTCGCTGCTATGGAATGATGGGAGCTGAAGCTTTACAAAATATTTAGCCCTCTCTGCTTAAGAGTGTTGCTTCCTCACCAAATTACAAATCCCAGGATTCTAAAACATCAAGCCATGGTGGCTAAAATAATGCCAAGCTGCATTAATTCTACAGTTTAGATGAACCCTAGTCAGGGTCCCTTACTGGCTAGGGCATCATTGTGTCTTCTAAGTAACAGTGGACAGAACCAGTGACTACAGAAGCCTCTCTTCTTTCCTGAACACACCGCAGTGAACCCTGTGTTATGCTATCTCTTTATCTAATCCTTCTGCAGTACATTTTCTTCAGTTTCAAAATGTGAGTGTACCTTAGCCAAATCATCATTTTGATTTTTTAAAAAACTTTTTGGGTCTCTGGGAGGTTTGACCTTATTTCTTCCACAAAAGGCAGGTTCACTAGGTCATAGCTAAAGTCCTGCTTTGCATCAGCATTTAGCCTTGAGGCTTGGGGTGTTTTAAATCTGGATCTAGTTCTCCTCTAAGTCCAGGACTAAAGGCATGGAAAAGATCAAGCAGCCATAATCATTATGACTTGCTTGTGGTCTTCAGTCATAGTCGTAACATTATTTTAATGTATTTTCTTTTGCTGGACAGAGGAATGTTAACACCTCCGTTTTTTCCTTGCCAAAGAGTTTACACCTTGGTTGCCTTTAATATGATGTTTATGCATGCAATAAAAGACTAATTCCCACCTCCCTGAAATGCCAGACATGGTGTAATAGTATCTGACTTCCTGGAAACTCAAATGCCATGTGGTCCCTACCCTTCTTCTTCTTCTTTTTTTTAAAAAAAGCCTTGTATTGTTTTTCCATCATTTTTTCCACAACTTAGACCTGACCCAGTCTCCATGAAGTCAAGAGTAAAAATTCTTACTAGCTTCAATGTGAGCTCGTTTTGATATTATTGAGGGGCCATATTTTTAAAAATCTTTCTGTGCCTGTAATAATTTATGGGCATGATTAATCGGGGCTTAAGTATCTAATTACCCAGCATATTGGTGCAGTCATTAGCCTTTGCCAGATGCCTACACAGCATTGGCACTGCTTTCAGTCTTGTGTAAAGGTTGGCTTGCCTGAAGTATTATGCACACAGCTTCATGTCTTAGCTGCAGCAGTGTGAATGACAAGAGAGATGACAGTCATTGCAGTGCATAAAAGCCTTGCTGGATCAGACCCAAGGCTGTTTTGGTGTCCCACATTCTGTTCACAGACTGGACAGCCAGTTGCTGTGGCAGTGGCTTTCAACTTTTGGACTTCCTGAAGTTTTGGATTTTGTTTCCCAGACTCCAGTGTATCTCCAAATGTATATATTTACACTCTACTAACTAGATGTTACGTGGCAACCATTGATTTAATTCAATTTATATAGATAATTGGGTTACTTCCAGTGAAATGCCAAACCACAGTATCCAGTGCTAACATGTTTCCTGTCATATACTACTATGTGTCCATCTGCCATTGTATTTTAATCTGTTGTTCACTGCCTTGATCCATAGGGAGAGGTGGATAGGATATAACAATAATAATCAAAGTTTATTTTCTTCTAGTTTAGCAGAAAACCATACTGTGCTGTTGCATGTAAATTAAACAAATTGCAGCTTTTGCTTCAGTTTTCCAGAACTGTGTAACCCTCTTAGTCTACCTTTTTCTGGTGTAATGAAAAACTGCTTTGTGGTTCCATTTGAATCTCCCAGGGAAAGACAGAAGAATGAGGTTGCCCAAGTACACAGTGTGTATTTACTATCAAACCATATTTGGCATTACATCCAGACCATCTTTGTAATTTATTCTGACATGTTAATGTTATATTGGAAATTATCTTTTGTTTTCTGTTAGGTCATCATGGCTGTAGTATGGCATCATAAGAACAGCCAAACTTTGTGAGTTCTTTCCACACTTTTTCTTAGGAGTTGATTGCATTAGATATGGAAAAACAAGTCACAAAATATCAAACAGTTCCTCCCTCACTTCCAGACAGGGTGTCTTTGAGAATGTGCCGTTTTCAAGACAGACATGATTGATGGCTAGGCTATGAACCACTACCACTACTGTTTTCAGTGTTTATCACTTTTCAAGCTGCTTTTGATTAGAAAAAAATTGCCATAGGGCACAGGGGAATTGATAAAAGCATATTGTGTGTAAATGTACAATTAGGCTGTTATGGGATTTGTTCTGACTTTTCATCTTACTTAAAGAGTAAATAGTTGCTTAAACTTATTTTTATAGGTTTCTAAACTAGAGACAAAAGACCACAAGCTTGAAGATGTTGTTTGACTTCCTCCCCCTTGCTTCTGTGGATGTATGGGGAAGCATCCAGCAGCCTAGATATTTTGAAGATCGGAATAATTCTGGAGATTGTTTAAACCAATATCTTAAATACACTTATATTTATATTTATCCATAAAACAAAAGGACAGAAAAGTAATTTGAATGATAAGTAAAATGCTAGTTCAAAATGGCATTGAATAAGTATGGTGTCACTTCAAAACTAATTCCTCTTTCTGTAATAATCCAATGTTCTTGTGAGAATACTAAGGAAACAGTAATCCTATGAACTGTAAAACTACTCAGACTCTTCCATAATGATTTAATTAGATTTCATACCTTACATATATCAGTTTAGTGAACAACCTAGCCAGCTCTTCAAAAACTTTTGAGGATTTTGCGTTTTTAAAGAATTAGTTGGGCATTGAACATCTTCCTCTTTATAGGTAAATACATACTTGGAAATAAATACTGCTGTGGCCAGTGGAGCATACTCTCAGCTAAATGGTAACAGGATTAAAACCCAAAGTCTACACTGAATTTGCAAATTCCAGCTAGAACAGATTAATTAAATCACTGCAATTTGCACAAATACTGACTCTCCAAATTTCTATTGATTCAATGGATCTGCTTCAGTTGGGACTAACAATTGGATTTAGGCTTGTGTTAATAGATTTATTGCACTACTCCACCTGGTGACTGATAACTACTAGTGCACAGGCAGCAACTCTGTCTGAAGTTTTGGACTAGAACCAGTCAGTCAGTGGAAATGGTTAGGAAGCAGGGTTTGACTAAACATTTGATAGAACTTCCTAAAAGTCATAATTGTTCTAAGTCTGGTCTTTGAAAGCATGGACTCATTCATTGAAGGTATTTAAATAGAAGCTGGACCGCCACCTCAAATGTAGAACATACAAAGTTGCTTTATATGGAGTAAGAATATTGGTCCTTCTATTTCAGTATTGTTGATGCTGGCAGGTAGCAGCTTTCCAACTTCACCTAGAGGCACCAGGAATCGATCCTTGGTTTTCATATAATTTAAGATGTGTGTTATGCCAGTGGGATCTGGCTCCTCAATTTCTGTATTCAGATCTACCACTGTAGGTTCTATATGAGCAGGGGATTGGACCGGTTGACCTCTAATGTACTTCGGATTTTATAATTCAATTAAACCAACATGTTGAAAGTTAAACAATTCACAAATTTTGCATTAAATACAGTGCTACTGAAATGCGCCTTTATTTAATTTTTATCCCATTCTTCTAATACTGGGACTGTAAACATTTCACAGTAAGATTTTCAAGAATTAAAACTGATTATGTACTCTCTGTTTATATGCATATGTAATTTTAAACACAGATGTTAAAACAAAAAAAATTCAAAACTATAATAAAATACATAAGTAAAATAAAGTGTAATAGTCCCAGTTGAAATTCCTTCCTTAGCAGCCAGTTATCAAAAGCATTTCTTAATTAAAGGTATAGATATTTTGGAGAGGCATCAGTACTATTTGGCAGAGAAGGCCATAATTCCATAGCACTGAGACATAGGAGTTAAAGTAATGTCAAATTGCTTTTATTCTACAGTAGATGCACCCAATAAAGATTGATTTTTAGGAACAAGTCCCAATCCTGTCTGGATGTTCCAGACAACTATATTTTTGTATGTTTAGAAAAACTATAAATAAAACCCAAGGAAGTCCTCCTAGCACAGCCATAACATTAGTTCTCATGAAAAAAAAATTCTCATTTTTTTAGACTATGCTTCTTTAAAGTAGTTGCTTGGTTGAATTTTTTTTATAGAGGGTCCAAAGGCCACACCTGCCCCATTTATAGTTGCACATACCTGTCCTCTAGATTATAATAATAATAATCATCATCATCATCACAATCATCTTTATTTGTACGCTGCCACCGTCTCCCCCAAGGGGACTCGGGGCAGCTTACATGAGGCCAGGTCCAAACAACAAATTATAGCAAAATAAAACGAAAAAACACAAGCAACAAACAACAACATCATAATTACATAAAACATATGAATACATTAACAATATGAGATCACAATAAACACAGTCACAGTGACAATGGGCGGGCCACATGTGCAGAATAAAATGATTAAAAAACTGATTAAAAAACTCGGGTGGCAGATAAAAGGAGGAGCAGGTTATTTGTGGAGGGGAGCTCATTTAAACGGGGATTGTGGAACCAAGCTCAGTTTCGCCAAACTGGAAGTGACATTTAGAATTGCTCTTTGGAGCCTTTCAAAGTCTCTTCATGTGGGGGGGTGGGGGGGTGGGGATGGGGGGCAACACAGGAGAATAGAACAATTTCCTGATTTAAATGCTGATGGGTAGGGGTTCAGAAGCAACACAATTTCCATACCTTAACTAAAAGATATAATTTGAGTTTGTCAGTTTTGAAATGTAAAGGCGTGTTCAGTGGCAGAAACTCTAACCCAAGACATAAATGGATATTTGGACCTGCAGTCAACTAATGTGAATCTTATTTAAGCACCCTTTTGGCATTACCCTGACTCCTAGAAGTGACTTAGATATGGATGGATTTAGCAGGGATTGAAAGACAAACACTCCCAACAATCAAGGATCTGAGGAATGAGAATTTCTGGGGTTTTAGCCCATTTGGGAGAAAATATGAAAACTAAAACTGTAAGTATCTGGACTTCATTTAGCAGAGTAGCAGGAAAAGCATGCCTCAATCTCTGATAGCTTCTCTAAATTGAAGCTGATTCAAAAACAAACAAGGCAGGAAATTTCAGGTTGCAAAATTAGAAAAGTTTAGTAATGGCTTGACGTTTATTTACATATCCACAGAGAATCTACATTCTAACTAGCTCATGAAAAGAATAAATAAAATATAGTAGCTTCATTCTTAACTCATCATTTCTTGATGGAGAATACAAGCATGGCTGAAGAGAGAAAAAAGAAGACCTGAAAATTGAAGAGAGAAAATAACATCACATCATAAAGACTGTTTACTTGGAGACATAAAAGGGGCAAGGGTAGAAATAATAAATGGGAGCTTTAAGTGAGAAGAAAAAATCAAGATGAATTTCATGTGTGTTGGGTGGGAATGCTGCAACTTCCCAGCAAAATCAAATTCCCAGAAACCATTAGCCAGTTATGCTGAGATACCAGCATCTACTCATTAGGTCTTCAATAGAGGCAACGTGTGATGAAAAATCACAAAGATGATGACCTTTGTTAGATTCCAGGCCCACCACTTTTAGATAAGATGAGCCCAGAAGATCTTGGTATTGATAATTCTGGTATGGGTGGTTCAGTGGGATTTAGTGAAGACAGTTCTAGGTCCCCCACATGACAAAATGCTCAACTTAAGAAGGTTATTTAGTGAGTGAAATCAATGCACTACCATTGGACTAATCCCATTGGACTTTAGACATCCCCACGATGAACTTTGAGTGCATGGGAAGCAACTAAGAAGAATCCCAGAATTTAAAGTAGGTTTCTCCTGCAACAGCATGATGATTTCATGATGAGTCCTGCTCATAAGTATTCCAGATTTGGGCCCCTGGAAAATGCAGTAACAAGGCAGAGCTGATGCAACACTATACTCTTTCTTTGCTATCCAACATTGTTAATTCCATGGACATTTAAGACAAAAAGATGAATCACGCAGCAGGAATGTTAGGAATGGGAAAGTTATTCCCCTGATGTTGTGAGTCTTGAAAAAGTTGGAGCCTAAGGGAGAGTCAAGGCTTCCAGAGGTGTAAAATGTCTTTTTTGTAGATATGGTGTTATTCTCTTCGAGAAGTCACACTCTTTCAGGGCTGATCCTACCAGAAAGGTGGTAGGATATCATGTAGAAACAATCATGTGAGGAGGAGGAGGAATATTGTCCTCTTTCTCTATACATTAAAATGAAATGCATGACTCCCAAGCTCCATATTTGTCTATGCCATTCATGGCCATAGATCATTCTGGTTGAAACTCATAGGAGCTAAAATTGAGTAACAATTACAGGCCACCCCTTTCCCAGTATTTCTCCAACAAGTTAATTTCCTTGTTGTTTCTCTTACACGATAAGTTCATAAACACCTGAAATACATAGCCTGATCTACTTTTTCACAAAAAGGATACAAGATGTGAGAATTCAACTATAGGAAAAATATAGAATAATCTATGTACTCCTATTCTCTTTCCCAACGTTTAAGAAGATAAGTAGTGGAACAGAAGATTTAAATATATGGAAGTACTCAAAGATGGATTGATCCCAACAATCTGTATGGTAATCAGGAAGAAGAGAGCCAACAGATGTACAGTACATTTATCCCAAATTTGCAACTTGGCCCTGCACAGTTGGATAAGACACCCGGATGTTTTGATGTTTTACCATCCTTGTGGGAGGCTTCTCTCATGTCCCTGCATGGGGCTCTGGAGTTGACAGAGGGAGCTCATCCCCAGATTCACACGTACAGTATGTTGGTCTTCAGTCTTGCTGGCACAAAGGTTTAACTCACTGCCTCTGATACCTCATTAGGGCCCTGTCTAGTTCTCCACTCTCACTGAAGTAGGATTATGTTGACAAATGGAAAGATGGTTAATCTACTCTCTGCTTCTTTCTTTGGCACTGTTCATTGTTTTTTCCCCATCTCCCTTCCCATGCAAATGTCTTTGAGGCACCAGGTTCCATCTGATCTTCAAATCTAAGCAGGGGCAGTCCTGGTTAGTACTTTGATGGGAGACCGCCAATGAATACCAGGTGCTGTAGACCGCATTGGAACTGGCAAAACCACCTCTGATTATTTCATGCCCAAGAAATTTAAAATTTATGGTCATTATACACTTATAGGAGACTTGAAGGCAGTCAGGCGTGCGCAAGTTTGCACACACACACACACACACACACACACACAGATTGACAGCAAGTAAAAAGAAGTACTTCTTCATGTCACACATAACCAAACTATGGAATTCACTGTAGATGCAAGTATCACTGCTAAAATGGATAGCTTGGAATTGCATAAATTTGTGGAGTCTCCCAGTCAAGATGGAGAACATTGGACATAATGTCTCTGTGAGGTCATGTATTCATAATTGCTGTCAATTGTTATGTCAAATCATGGCAGGCCAACATTAAGATTTCATCTTACTTGTTGCCCTGCTCATGTTAAAGTACATTTTCTTGAAAACTGTAATCGTTAAATTAACTCTTGTTCCTCTATTACATAAGTTTGTAATGGAAAAATAATGATTGTGTTAATGTTCATATTTTGCTGTATTTTAATTGTCCTTTTGTATACCAGCTTTCTATCTGCAAGGATGAAAGGTAGTTTTAAAATATTAATGAATAACAAATTACAAGACTGATACAGAAATCTGAGAGGGATGAAAGACATGCATTGTACTTTGTGTAGTGTATATATTTAAGCTGGACAAACATCTTGGGCAACTGTTATAAAAACATTTGGTTATTAATATGCTCAGAAGTAATTTTTGTTGAGTTCACTGGGGCTTATACTCTGGTAAATGTGTATAAGATTGAAGCCTAAATTGCATGGATTTATTGCAGTATTCTGGTTTGCTGGTGGCAACTTTTAGAACATGAGTAGTAGACGTGTCTGAGGTTTTGGATGAAAACATGAAATATTAAATACTTGGAAGCTATTGGAATATATGGAAATAATTAATATGGCCCACACCAGTCCTAGCAACTCGGGCTTCAGCTCGGGAAAATATTTGCCCCTCTAATTAACAGTCTGCATATGATTTTCTCTTTTAACTTGTTGAACTAAAATCATAAATTTTTACAACCATTGGCACATGTCGATGTGAAAAATGATTTTTTTCATTTTACTGTGCAATAAATTTACATTTTAATGAATCTAATTGGCTCTGTTTTTATTTTTCATATTTTTGTTATTTACATAAGTTTAACTACTTTGGTCTGGTGGCTTGGACAGCAAATTGAGATCCTGATTAAGCATGGTAGTGAAGTGTGCTTTAAACTTTAAAACATGGAAATAATCGTGTTGACGTCAGAATGGCCTCAACTAAACAGAGACTTCGGGTTCTGTTCTTGGCATTGGCAGTTACATGCTATGCGATTTCTAATAATTCAGTTATTTAAGCTCCGAGGGCTTACATTACTTTGCATTATATTTTTTCCAGTATTCCCCTTGGTGGTTACCATCTGTCTCCATGTTATGTTATAACAAGTCTTGCAGTGGACCACAAAATTTTTGCTTATCTTTGATGAATTTTAAGAGAATTTAGTCACAAGTATATGAGGTGCTGCTTTATAGTGAGCCATGTGGTGGCTCAATTTGGCCCCCAGGGACTTCACTTTTGGCCACCAGCAAAGCACCTGATCCCAATCTTTCTTTCTTTCTTACACATATACAGTATTTTACTTGCTCGCTCTCACTGCCTGGCT